GCGAATTGACTAAGACGATGCTTCTCAGGGTTCTTGCCTTTTTCCTATTCAGTCGTTAGTGGCGGTACATGAATCTTAAACCCTCGTTTGCTTATACTTTGATGATTATAGTTGCAGGAGTGATTCATGTTTTGGGATTGATTTGATCAACTCTGTCGGTTTATGAGATATTCTTTAAATAATATATATATATATATATGTTATCATTGTTTCTTCAAAAGTTATGATTAGGAAGAAGTGTTAGCTAGCTTAATTACCCAATTTTTCTTCTCTTAAATCTCCAGTTAGATCTTTTTAGAAGTTACAAGTAGTTCATTGAACTCTTTTGATTCATGTGTGAGATAATGAAATCTTTTGATTCCTGTCATTTTCTATCCCTTGAATTTTTTTAGTCTTTTGAAATTTTTTTTTTTAACGTGATCCGATTTTAACATGTAATTTATCGGAATCAAAATTTTTATAAAAAAAATATTAGAATTAAATGAATAATTTAGAGATGAAAAGTCAGGCAGGGCAACCTTTCTTTTTTAAATTCTTGCAGCCAATTACTAACATTTTTTATATAAATAAAAGAAGAACAAACTACTCTTTTAAGTCCTTTAAAATTTTAGAGTAATTAATCATATAATTTAGTTATATTATATAAAATTAATAGATATATTTTAACAAATAGATTTTAACTCTTTCTCTAATTATAATACTACAACTATATATAAATGAAATGGTAAAATAGAATAAATAAAAATATAAATTACGTACAAATATCGATTCAACCGTAAAAATGTATAACATATTTAATTCTAATGTATCAGTCGGTAACGAAAAATGCAAAAATAATACGTTGATATTGATATGATAGACAAAATTTTTTATGAACGAGACTAATACCAACTCGCCCATTTCATTAATATAGTTGAAGGTTTGACATTAAGATGTAAGGTTGAGACTGAGATTGTAGGAGAACTCCAGAAGTTTAGTTTAGTGGTAGAAGGTAGACTGTAAATCATGTTGATTTCTAAGTATTGAAATAAGATTATACATGGTGTAGACAAATATATACTTTTAGTATATGTATTTATTTCCGTCTATATAGTTTTCTTCTAAAAGAATTATTATATACAGAAATTCTGAGAGCCATAAATCTGGTTTTTCTATATATACTATGATATCTTTTGAATAAATCAAAATTTCAAAAAATAAGACCCAAAAGGAAAAAAGAAAAATTGAAGCCCTAACCCGCGTCTCCTGGTTCGTCCTCCTCGGCGCAAGTACGCTTCTCCCTTCCGCTTCATCTTCTTCCTTCGCACCTGCTTCCTTAGCGCAGTGACTCCTCGATGCTTTTCGATTGTGTATTTGAAGTTCTCCTCTTTCTTTTTTAGGTAAAGCAACAAGAAGAGCTGCGAAGATTCAAATTAACATGGTAATTCTTTATTTACTCATGGATCTCAGTTTTGATTTAGTGCGCGCTTATTTTAGACTGAAATTAGTTGTTAAAAATTCAGTCTGGAAGGAAAGAGACGGTGCTGGATTTGGCAAA